GGGAAAAAAAAAAAAAAAAAAAAAAGGGTGGTGATGCTGGTGCATTTGGTTTTTATACAGGTAAACCCCACTCACTAATTTTTCATGAAACAGTACACAGCTTCCTCAGGCACTGAAGATTTATCCTGAACACAGTATTCAACCTACTGCCCACCATCAAGTGCACAGGTACACCAAGATCTCAGGAGAAAATTACAATGTCTGCATCCAAGCCTCTCCCATGTCTTAGACACATGCGCACACCCACCCACCCACGCTAGCAGCCTGAATTGTGATACTTAAGAAATGCCATTGCCAGGGAATGGTAGGAAGCAAAATTAAATTGAGAGATACGATTTGCCCCTTGCTGAGCTGGTCAGCAGGGGCTTGCTGCTCAGCTCACTTTTTTACAGCAGACAAGCTGGTGATCAAAGAGGAAGAACATTCGCTGTTGGCTCTTGGCTTGAGGCTGGGAAATTTTGGTTAATTCTCCAGAATAGATGAGTTCTGAGCTTCTGACCAGGACATCTTCCCCCTGCAGCACAGAGAGCATGTCAGTTCAACCCAAAACCAGAAAAGAAGAAACATGAGGTGGCTAGACATCAGTGCTGGGTTTAGCTGTCTAAGTGGTAAGGGCTTAAGCTGCTGTGGACTATGGGTAACCAGATACAGCCCTTCTCTGTGAAAAGGCCTGGAGTAGAAAAGGTGAGGGACTCTTACTACTCCACAGCACTGGAGAGTCATCCCTCTGTTATACAGGGAGGGATTTTGGTTTTTTGTGTGCACAAGGAAGGTGCATTTGGCTGGGCAGGGGTGGAAAAAGAGAAGATTCTGTACTAGGTTCAGCATCAGGATCTGCTCCCAGCAGTTAATATATCCTGGTTCTCTGCCCACAAAGCAGCCACCTCAGTTACTATCAGCTGAACATCTGGCCCAATATTATCAGGACAATTTACTTGCTCAACTCTAGAAAAAACAATCTGTTTTGTTCATTAAAAATGTGTGCTTGATTAGTTTATCTGAGCACACAGGGGCCATTCAGCTTCCATCCTTATCTCTTGGAAAGTGAGTTCCACAGAGCTAAAGTCTGAAAGCTGTGGATAGCAAATCTGCCATCCTACAAACTGTTCAGATAAGACATGGGGTTCCTGCCCTTTCAACAGTGTGTGCCAATTTCAATCTGCAAGGAACAAGGAATTCGGGAAGACAGAATCTAAGACAACATACCACAGGCAGTAACGCAGCAGTGGGCAAAGTCCAACCCATGGGCTGGATCCAGCTGGCAGTGAACTCTGTTTCCCAGCAGCCCCTGCCCACGTGGCTGGGGCCGGGTTCCATGGAGACCCCAGCAGCAGCTGTGCTGTGATAGCAGGGGGCTGGGGTTTCCACAGAGTCCAGCAGTGCTGGCAGGGTGGGGAGCTGCTCCAGTGATGGGCTGGGATCTTGCGGTGGTGACAGCATGGTCTGGAGCCAGGGCAAAGCTGCGATCCACTGCCTGCACGCCCCTGCCTGGAGCATGCAGGCTGCAGATCACGGCTCTGCCCTGGCTCCGGACCATGCAAGAGCCCAGCCCGGCCCTAGAGCAGCTCCCCGCCCTGCCAGTGCTTCTGGGGCCAGGCTCCATGGAAAGCCCAGCCCTGCACTATCGCAGCATAGCTGCTGCTGGGGGCTGTCCATGGAAACCAGCCCCAGCCTTGTGGGCAGGGGCTGATAGGAAATGGAGTCCACTGCTGGTGGGATCCACCATTTTGCCCACCCCTGCAGTAGAGGGATGTCTGGCCAATTTAGGTCTGCCAGTCGCACTCTAGCTGACTGTGGAGGTGTCTCTACTTAAGTTTTAGATCCTGCAGCACCTAAGTGCCTTGCCCCAGTAGGATGATCAGATTGGTAAGTTGAGCTGCCTTTAATATAGATAGTGACTGGGGAGACCTAAGTGCCCAAATGTGGTCCAGACTGGGAGGCATCTATACCTCCCCACTGGCTGTATAGAAAGTGTGTGTGTGTGTGTGTGTGGGGAGGGACACTAACCCTGCTGATTTAGGTTGTCCCTTCCATCAGGAGGGGTCTAGCGTCTAGATACTGCAATGCCCAAGGTGTAGCATCTCAGAGGTGAATGAGGCTCTGGTCCCTAATCAGATCCCTTTGGAGCATGTTCAGTAACCCAGATCCCAGCACAGGTGCCCAAGGATCTTTTCAGCCCAACCAGGAGGCATCCAGTGAATCTCGACGCAACAATTTTTGTAGCCATATAGCACAGCCCATTTGGATCCCTCTTTATCACTTAAATTCCCCCCGAGTCCTACTTAAGCATCTATGTGGGCAAAAAGCATTTGCCCCATGGTGACTGCATGGGAAACTCACGGCACCATATGTGGTGGTGACAGTTTGCAGTGTATAGGAAAGAACCGCTCTACATAGTGTCAGTCCCTCGAAGGCTCCTGTTACCTCCCAGTCCTCTATGGAACTCTGCCACTGGGCAATTTTTTCTATGTTCTCCAGCCTCCTCTTTCTTTCGTTGATGAGCCGAGCAACGTTCTTCATAGCATTTAAGGCAGCTTCAACATCTTTAAAATCCCTAGGGTGAAAGAAAGCCCATGAGGACAAGCACAGTGAAGAGAGCAGATGCCAAAAAAGGCTGTCTCCGTTCCAAGAGACAACAGGATAGTAAATAAGGCATAGGACTCAAAGCCAGGAAGTTGGGGTTAATGTGTCATTTTTTCCCCTATTTTGAAAGCATACTGAGACCATCAGCTGTGCAGCTATGTGGACATGAGCAGAGATTCAAAGGAAATGAGTTCTTAGAATCCCAGGCCCTACTGGGAATACTGAGCATTTTAAAACCTGATGCGAGTATTTTTGCTGTTACAGTCCGTTTCCTTTTGAGATATGCATGCACCATTTTGCCCATCAGAAAAGCATTGTTAAAGGCAAATTCTCTTGCTATCAAATGTCAAAGAATTAACTAATATCAGGAAAGGGCAAGGAGGGTTCAGAAATGATTGGCTCCCTTTCATCATCTAGCTGGATGTAGGTCAGACTCTGACATATCCATGTACACACCATGTGTTCCCCTCTGCAGTGGAGCCCTGGTGCTGAGGCATGCAGACAGGGCAGCAGCCAGCCCAGGGCTCCCTGCCTCCCCATCTTGAGGCACCTTGTCTTTGTGTTTGTCCCAGTGCATGCCACTTTGGTGTGGTTTGTGCCACTTTTTTCAGGCTTTTGTTTGGTTTTGCTACCAAGAAATCCCAGTAGCCAATTTTGCCGTGGCATGCAGCACCAGGCATGGATTAATGTACATGCATTCACTTGCCTCAAATCCAGATTTTCATGGTTATTTGTGCAACCAGTTATTTTAGTTGCTTTATACAGGAATATGTTTCTTTAAGGAACCCTGAGATTCCTTAATAAGGCAGTTGATTGATGGCTGCTCTGGGGATTTAAACAGAATCAATTAAAACTGTAAATGGGATCTCTTTAGGAATACCAGCCCAAAGTCTGCCAGTCCTCAGTGTGACCCTGATCTACTAGAAGAAGTTCTCCACTGTTTAAGGGCCCAATGCTCAATCATCAGCACAGCCCTATTGAAAATAATGGGAAAACTGTTTCACACCGTCTGAGGATCAAGCCCCAAAGAGCCAAACAGGGCAACAGGTATCAGACACCCATATCCATAAAACTGTCATCCCAGGAACAGGTATAAAGGCTGTGGGTTGGCTGTGCAGGGAGGGCTAGGTAGCTGTGCATCATCTCGGTGTTGTGTAGGAAAATTCTGCAATGCCCCTCAATTTACTGGGGCTGGTAGCAGTGACATGGGACTAGGCCATGTGCTTGCAGATGCACTTGCCTGGGCCAAGACCTTAGGACCAAGCAAAGGCCTGGACCAAGCGAAGGTCTCATAGGGTTTGTTATGTCTTCTTCTTGTCGGAGTAGCTTTGCAGACACCTGGGCTCTTTCTGGCTGAAGGGTCCACCTCTTGGGCATGGTAGTTTCAGATGCAACACTTCTAGTTTCAAGGCTATTCTCAAGCTTGCCAGAAAACCCACCTTTTTATGTAGAAGCTACAATTATTTGTATTGTGCTCCAACGTAGCCAAAAAGCAAAGGCAGATGCACTCTTATGCCCAATCAGATGTGCTGATACTGCTCTCAAGAGCCAGATAAGGAAGCAAAGACAATACATTAAATGAGGGTGGGAGAAAGAGGGTTGGGGGGGAAGGGGCATGATTTCAGATCAGTCAGACAGACAGGGGAAGCTGACATCTATCTAATGGAAAACGACAAATCTAGTAAGGAAAAAAAATTCACGTCAGAGCTTACACATATAAGAATAGTGACTCCACAGTGCAGCTGTTTGTGAATACTCTTAATTCAGAGAAAATAGTGCAGAGCATCTTGTTACTTGTGTCTCTCTGAGTTACCTTGGCTGTGATGACCTACCTGTGCTGGGGGTTGGTGTATTTGAGCAGTTCAGCCAGCTGCAGTGGGTACTTGCAGATTTTCTGCACTGGTGTAAGAAGAAACCCATCCAGAGAGATGTCAATCATCTTCTGAAGAAGGCGGCAGGCTTCAAAGAAATAGACATACTTGTTCACTTTAGCGAGGCGGGACAGCTCCAGGCAGGCATTGGGATGATTGTTGCAGTACTCAGAGTATATCTGAAACTCTGTTTGCTAAGACAGAAAGGAAACAGCAGCCCTTAGTGTTAATGCTGCTCATGTACCGGGGCCTTCAAAATGCTGCATATAGAAAAATCCTACAGAGTGCAGATTTCAGTCATCTTTTACCTCAGTGCAGGCCTCTTCTGCAGATCACTTTCTGCAATAGCCATACTGCTCCTAAAGAGGCTTGCCCAAACAGTCCTGAGAGGCAACCCCCCACCCTGCTGATACCCTGCTCCTCAACAGAGGTGCCATGTGGTAGCCAGTACTTCCAGATGTGCGGACATGCATTTTCCCTTGGTGGCCCCATGGTTTCAACAATGAGCTGTGCCCTCACCTGCCATTCTGCTTCCTCTTCCCTGTGGAGGGAGAGGAGACCTATGTTTGCCTGCCTGGTTGGGGTCCATTAAAAACTGTACATGCTGCTTTTCAGAGGGTGACAAAGATGCTTTCATGTTCTGTGGGTCACTCTATCCCCTACCCGGACACCTGATGAAGTGACCAAAGAACCAGTTAAAATCTGTAAAATCCATATGTCTGCTCCTTACTGAGGTGCACAGGGAAACATATTTGCAATCACAAGGCTGGACATGTAATTAAAAAACAAACAGATGAACCCAAAGCTTCAATTCCATTAGTGAAATACAATCATTCTCCAGCTCCTGGCCAGTCTATCCTCAGTACCTACACTGACTGCTTTCCTCTTAGAAACTTCAACTTACATGTTCCAGGAAGCAGGAGCCAACCTCACTCAAGTGTGGGTACTCTTTGTTGAATTTCTTCTCCAGGGCTTTTACAAACTTTTTCTGACATCTGTAAATGTCCTCGATATTACCAAAGATTGTCTTCAGTTGTTCCTCTGTAAACATGTCAACTCTTTTGCGGCACTGCTTAATGTAACCCTGGAAGGAAGTCAAATTAGAAAAGCATGTGGGGTGCTTGCTCTAGGGCTCATTGACATCAATGGGCATGCCAGTATGAATGCTACTGTCCTTTACTATTAGTTCCCGAGGTGTCACCCCTCGTAAGGATGGAAAGCACACCACAGTCAGAACTTGTCTTGGGTGTCTACAGGCATATGAAAGAAATGCCATTCTATTAACCAAAGTACTTTATCTTCTAGAGAGGAAGTGTAATATTTAGAATAGCTTACAAAACTATTCTAAATCTTTAGCTCCCTTCATCAGTTTGGATTGGACCCAACTTATCTGCCCTTTGTTCTCTCCCTTCTCAGCCTAGTTACCTCACAGATGTCCTTAAGGTGTTTGATGTAGTCTTTCTCTGTGCTTATGATCTCATTAATCACATTGGTCCTCATCTGATCCTTGCTTGTCTGCCCGACACCATAGCGGCGGGCAGTGCTGCTGATGTCTTCCTCTTTGCCGTCCTCTACTTTTAGAGGATAGTCTTCCATGGGTTCATCCTGGTTTACTCGGAGCTGTGTCAAACACAAGGGTTCACATTGGATAACAGTCCCTCATATACCAGACTTTGCTGTATCATGTTGTCTGGATCCCGAATTAAGGTGCTTCCACCATCAAGAAGGACATGATGGGAGATAGCAGAGGCTACTCTCCTGGTGCCTGAGCAAGGCTCATGCACTGGTCAGCCAGTGCCCTTCAGAATTAATTCTGTGACATCTCTGGCACCTTGGGCCGCAGTGGACCAGCCCTGAACTGCCCCCAACTGCTGTAGTTCAGCTCAGAGACTGGCAAAGACTGGCTTGGGTAGGAAAGGGAATCTAAATACAGGCACTCACACATGCACAAATGCATACATGTGCATACATATATGCAGAGGGGGGAGGGAAGAAGAGTTATGGGAAATCTAGAGTCACTTAACATTTCTAGTAATTTCCTTCATAATCTTTAGAAGGGCTGTGAACACTGAAGGGCATAAGGGAGATCCCTTCATGTCACCCAGCAAACTGCTCCTGTAACTGAGATGTTACATGGATGGGCTTAGGTAGGACAGCCCCTTGCATGGAAGGATCACATGTCCCAAGCAGAGGCCTTCCAGAAGAAATATGTGTAACACAAAGTAAAACACCTCAGTAAATGATTTACCAGCTGCGTTTGCTTTGGAGATGTATATCAAGAGAGATTTATGGGTTGATAAACTTGGTTTAGCAGTTAGTTATAGGATACTTGCTATTTATAATGTAACTATCAGTAATGTAACAATGTAAACTGAATGCAGTGCAAACTGAGTATAGATGCCAGTGGGCAAGAAAAACAGTATGAAGAGAAAGCTCATAGTAATCACATTCACAAGATATTCAATTTGTGGCAGTGCCTTTCTCAGAATGACCATTAGGTGACAGCACAGCATGAATTAATACTCTCCAAAATTTCAGCCATTTGCCTAGGCCACATTCTACAGAACAGGGTCATCAATTGTACTAAAACTAGATTCAAGCAATTCACTTGCAAACGTTACTTTATACAGTGCTACTGTAGCAGTGTTAAGATTACCCTATGCTGATATCCCCATACAAAATTAGAGATGCAGCAACAAACAAAAAGCTCAGAAGAGAAAAAAGAAAATACAAGAAACAAGCTACAACATTGCATTGATCCCAGCAATTTGTTTAGCATTTTATGTGGTAAACATGCTTCCAGGTAGGATTATTTACACATATGTTACACACCCACCACATATCCACATGCATTTTGATCTACATTTACTTGGTTATAACTAAGTTTGCTTACTCTAGTCAACAGTAGGGCAGACAGATCAGATACGAAATCCAGATTTGCTTTCACTGCTAACAGAAGACCAAAATTTCCAGGTGAAACCCAAGTCTAAAACTGGACTGAGCAGAACCAAGGAAATAGAGGACTCCAGAGTTGCTGGGGTTATTTGATACCTCCAACCCCTATTGCTCTTCTCAAAAACAGACTTGAGGTCAGGTTGTAATTATCAAACTGTTAAAAAATGGTTGCCTAAGCAAGGACAGAAGAGATACTCCAGTAGGAGAACCTGGCACATCACCTCCTGAAGCCTAGCACTGACAATTCCCTTCAGTACCCATGAGGTTTTACCAACCAAGAGGCACATGGGGCCAGCTTACAGGCAACAACCTGAAGCTCCTTGGTTTGGATATGGGTCACAACTTAAACAACAAAAAAACCCTATGCTCTGGCCCTTCAGAAACCATTCTACCCCACTGAACCTCCAATCCTGGCCTGGGTCCAGATGATCTAACTTACAAAATTCAGTGTTCATCATGCCTTGCCAGGGACCTTAAGAATGCTGAGAGGGGACAAAGAATCTCTTCCCAAAGCAAAAGTTTCTAGGACTCTTACACTGTAACCAATCAGACTTCCACTGGGACTTTTGCCCCAGGAATGGTCTCCTCCATGTTTCACCTGTCTTTGGTCATTTGTGACCTAAAGTGACCTTTAGGATGAAAGGGCTGAGAATCTGGGAGCTCTGAGAATCAACTCGCAGGTGATTTATGATGAAGAGAACGTGCAGGAGCAGCAGTTAATGTAAGTCAGGAATCCACACTGGGACTTATGGTCCACACAAGGAAACAAAAGTTCTCTCTTGCTTGAAAAGACATAGAAAATGCATTTCTTGGAGACTGAACCTGCCTGGGCTCTCCTTATTATGGGCAGCTCTTATATTCTTGAAAACCACCAATAAGGGACATATAAAACTCTTGCATTATTCACATTGTAGTCCCTGCTTCTGGACATCACAGTTTGTCCAGTTGCATTTAATAAATGAGACCTGTAGAGATAGATCCTCAGCTGGTGCAGCTGTGCTATGCTGATTTACACCAGCTAAGAATCTGGCCCACTGTACTTTTTGTACCAGACTATGTGAGCTGGAGATGCTCATTGGAAGCTTCAGTTCAACGTGGTGCTGCTGGAGAAAAAGCAACTCTGCACATGATACTGCTAACCTGCACCTGTTAAGCCAAATCACCCCCAGTATAGAGACACAGCTTATCAGGAAGCCTGGAAACACAAGTTATTAATGGACTGGGGCTAACTAACAATGGTCAGGGCCTTACCCGTACAAAACTGGCTGGAAACCAGCCTTCGCTGTCCAGGATCCTTCCCCACCACCACTCTTTGTTCGTAGCATCCATTACTTCAATGACATCGCCAGCCTTGAATCCCAGCTCTTGGTCATCCATTGTGACATGATCCCAAAGGGCTTCTGCATACACCACACTGCCATCGCTGATGAGCTGGGAATAGAACAAGTTAGTCACTGTCAACCAATTACCTCTAACAAAAGCATTGCAATCAGCTAGTGTGTGCACACATGAACGTTCAGACCTTGCACATAACTGTTCAGGAGCGCATTGTGCTTGGCTCTGTGTAGGTGTTCAAAGGAAGGAGATGAGCGGGATGAAGAGGGCAGGGAGCAGTCAGCATCACAGCCTTTTCATTCTCTTAGCAAAAGGATGGCCCCAGATAAGTGCCACGTGACACTCGGCAGTCCAAAGTGAGCAGAATAAAGACAGGTCCATGCTGGTCAGCAGAGTGGAGCTAGTATGAAAACAACACATGCAGCAGGAAGATGGACTACTGAAAATGGCATCTCCTTTATTACTAAGAGCTCCTGTGCTCCCTCAGGATATTCAGAGTCCTCTGACCAGCACAAATAAGATTTTATTTTGCTTGTTAATCCTGATAGCCCCTCAGGAGCAACGAAGTGAGGAGCCAGCTCTATTCTGGCTTGTGCTTCATCCACAAAATTGCTGAATGCCAACTGCACTGACATACTTTGCTCTCAGCTGCATCTGTTCCACCCCACACGGAGACAATGAATGGTGCTGATGTAATGGATACATCTACTGCCCCATAGCATGTTTTTTAATAGTATTTATAGAGGAGACACGGAAAATAGACCATGTGCTTTAGGCACCATACTGCCTTTGTGGCACCAGAACATTCTTGCTCTATAAGCCCTTGAAGACCAACACAGACCCCCATGACACCATTTCTACAGGGCCATCTTTCAGAGCAAAAAGGATACCAAGCTGGCCTATGTTTATAGGGTGCTTTAATGTTTTAAGGTGGTTTAACTTTGCATGTAAGCTACTTAAAGTTAGTTCTGCAGGGAATATGAACACTTAAGCTTTTAAGTAACTAGATATTAAAAACATATATCCAAAAAGTGGAAAAATGCATAAACCATCTCTATGCTTGTAAGCTCTTGGACTTGGTGACTGAGCCTATGACATGTTCAGTACACAGTTCTCAATTACTCACAGTCTTCTTACTTCTCAATCTATGTTTTCAGTCTTAATTATGAATATACCCCTTGCTGAGTGTGGTTTACCTGGTTCAAGTGTCCAAGTTTAACGATTTTTTCCCATTAGCTGTGTGATAAAACACTGCAGCAGGCAAGCATCCTTAACCAAGGGAAGATGATGCCTTCCCAACATGTTCATGGCTAAAAGACATCTACAGAAGTTTTCTTCAAACATTCACAGTAATATCTGTGCTCAGGAAAAGTCTATTCCTGCACAATTTCAACCATGAAAAATCATTTAAGAAAATGGAGTAAAGGGACAACTGTATTTAATGGAAATCTTTGTACTTTGATAGTCACCAAGGGAATATATGGAGGAGTAAAAGGCAGGGAATCTAGTGTATTCTAAAGGTTACAGAACAGGGAGAATTAATTAGCATTTGTTGAAAATTGTTTTGATGAACCATGCAGATGGACCATGCCTTCTCCTCCAAACAGAAACATGGTATGAAAATGAATCTATGTGGACAAAAAAAATCGCCAGGAGGTTATCACAGCTCCAGGGTTGGTTGGGGTAGGAGGGGAAGGCAGGAGAAGAGACTAGAGTACTCATTCATGCTAGAGTACTCATTCAGACCAAGGTTCAAATCCCTTCTCCATCTGATTTGGAGCACAAACTTGAACTGTGGTCTCCTGCAGGCAAGGCATATCCATTAACCCCATCAAGATATTGGCTGCTCTGAGGAAGGTTTATCCTCATAGATGGTCTGTCACTCCATCTTCGAAAATTTTTGAAAGATTTTTTTGGTTCCTCCCTCCAATATTTATTGAAGTAGAAAATATCTGGTTAGACTCAGAATAAATACATAGTTGCAGTGATCAGATTTTTCCCATTATATCTCACCTCTTTTCAGCACTTCAGAGATATAGCATGATATTAATACATGACACTGATAGATTGATTTTCATTCTGAGGTGGTTCAGAAAGGTAGACAAGTGTCATTGTTCCCCTTTTCACAGATAGGGACCAAGAGAGACAGAAAACTTAAGGGGGCATGCCTCTCATCCTATTGACAGATCAACAGCAGAGCAGGAAAACAGCTTAGGACTCTCCTAGACCAGTCCTGTGCTATATCCTCTGGACTTCAGTGTCCAGTGTTTACTCTAGTGAGGTTAAGTTTCCATCATATAGATACCAGTATGGGGCTTTCATTCAGTCTAACAGAAATGGAGCAAACAGTGGTGGTCAATCTGAGTGAGTCAGACAACTAGTCATTAGTAGTGCAGTACTACAGATAATCATTCATCCTTTTAAATGCTTGGGTATATGCCCAGTTATGCTTTGTAGGGGAGGGCTCTACTGGCTCAGTAAAAGGCTCTTAGTGCATCATACTGCACTGCTTATGCATGGTTCACATCAGTGTAACAGAAGCCTAATGCTGAAAGTCTCTTCTCTATGCATGGCTCATTTGCTCACTGTCAAGCAACTCTGGAGCAGACTAATTAAGAAATTCTTGGGAAGAACAGGACTCAAAAAACTTCTCAAAATACAAATCATGACAAACACCAAACTGAGAATGCAGCTCTGCTGTGACAAAATAACTCAACTACGTACTTCTATGCTCCATCATCCACAAACGTGGCCAGACATACCTAAATAACGCAACGCTTCTTTCAGAAGTGTTGTGGCTGCAAGATGCAGCAGAAGTGGATGGGTTAATACCAAATGGCTCTGGGCAAAATAATATATCTTTTTCAGGAACACAGTAGGGCAAATCAGACCTACTGTGAATGATGGTCTACTGTTAAGATTTTAAGAGCTTTCAAAAGGACTTAGCAACACAACTGTCACTGAAATGTCTAAGAGCTCTAGCCCACTTGGGTACTGGCTGGTGTCAAAGATACCACTTATTTTAAAGCACAGTCCACACCTAAACTTTTCTGTATATAAAACTACGGAGAGACATTACATTTGTGTTAGGAAATATGTCCTTTCCCAGCTCAAAAAGTGAGTGTGCGGGCATCCAAGTAGTTTGTGTCAGAAGAAAACAGGGATTCTGTCACAGGCTATTAACTCCTTCCAAAAGCAACGTCACTAGAGTGGCGTTTTCTAGTGCCATGTGTAACACCTCTTCCCGTTTCACATAGCATGACAGGAGTCCTTAGGACACCCAGTATCCCACAGTCCTCTACTCTCCCTCCGCCCTCTCCAAGGGGGAGGCAGCTGGCTCCCTGATAGCCCACTCAGTGTTAAGTTCTCAGAAAGCACCATGCAGACCCTACCGCCATGGCCATTTGAAGAGTCTCCGCTCTCTTCAGGACTGTTCAAACACCAGCATCAATTCCTGCTACCCCCTAAACAGTCCCTTAGAGTCCTGGGACTGTTCACATGCTGGCAGTAATTTCCTCACCCAAACCTTAGCCCTCCCACTTCTACCTGCCTACTCTATTGATTAAAGGAGTCAGTGGGCATAGGGTAGGAGTGGGGATGAGGATGAGGGAATTCCCGACCCCACAGCAAGAATCCTGGCAAAAGCTGGGGCTCTGGCAATGGCACTGCCAGAGGGGAAGCTGGTGGGGGGGCAGGATAGGGGACTGTCCTTGGAAGCTATTGCTTTTCAACAGTGGCCAGCTTATCACTGACAGCCTGCCCCTTTCCCCAGCAGGAAAGAGGGCAGGCTGTCAACTACAGGGGACCCAAGGTGCCGTCCCCTATCACGGTCTAGCTGGAGAGCTCACCTCTAAGGCAACTTTACTGGAATGCCCGTACACCTCATCTCACCACGTCTGCAATTCCCAAGGTGAACGGGCATCTACACAGCTGTGTGTACAGGCACAGAGCCACAGATGAACTACCAGGCAGCTCCTGCAAAATACCCTTAAGCAGGCAGTTCAGCTAATGCCACAAGTGGTTGGCACTCACAGGAGTTTTTAGAAGTGATGAGGTGACAAGTCAAATTTTAGAAGTGATGACAAGTCAGATATGCGTTACCCAACAGTCACTGCTGTTTCTGTAAGACGAAAGGAACAATATGAGGAAATTAAAGCAGAAGAGCAGAGAAGGATGTTTTATTTGTGTTTTAGACCCTCTCATGCAATTTAGTCCCAGAATATTTGACAAGTCACCCTGAGTGAAGGGCACATTCTCAGTTCTAGCTGTAAGTCTTCACAGCTTTAATTTACTCACATATTTGGCCTTTGGGAAGTGACAGGTACCACAACACTCAATATGCCTTTGATTACTTCCAGCATAACACATACTGCCTTTGTTTCTACTAGACCATCAGTCTTTGTCTTGCAGTTTTCAATTATTTCGTTTAGGTATTGATCTCTCATAGAAAGATTAAATAAATCTTTGTTTTAATATACCCTCCTCTGAGGTAGGCAGTTAAGGGTATCTTAGTCACTACTAAATATGGGGGGCCTGGAGGTGAGTAGGCCAGAGGCAGCATGTCTTGGTTAAGGTGATACTGTGATACACAGACCTACTTATGTTACTGCGCATAGGGTGCATCTACACATGCGCTCCACTGAGAAGTTGACTAAGTAGCTCTGCAATAAAGCATTACAGTTCACACGTGCCAGTATTAGGGTGCAGTAACTTAATTAATTTTGTTACTGTAGGATAGTACTGCCATAGGACAGTACTGTTGGAGACAGTAGTACCCCATGGCAGAGTAATTTACTTCACTGAAATGCAGGTGTAGAGAGTGACAGGGCCTGGCTGGGGCACAAGGGTGCTAAAATGCGGGGTCTGCATGCTGGCTAGGCCAGCACTGTAGCACTGACCATGCCCCACCCCCACATCTAGGCCCCTGCGAGCCCAGGGCTGCTTCGCCTCCCAGGTACATGTGCAGATGCTGAGACTGGAAGCAGCTGACTCTAGCACAAACTGCACCAGAGTTTATTGCTCCACCTTAATAGCATGTGTAGATGCACCCATGGTTTCTCAGAAACAGCAAGTGCAGCAGTAAAGAGATGGCACTG